GCGATATCACCCTGCACGCCCGGCTCGTAGCCCGGACACGGGTGGTGGTGGTGGTGGGCACAGAGCAAGGAGCCCTGCAGCGGCCTGCGGCCCTGGGCAGCCCCGCATGAGCGGGCGAGGCTGCGGGAAAGAAACCGCTGTGCTGGGAAACTACTGCCCCTGGGAAAGGGAGAGCTGGCATCGGCAGGGAAGGGCCTGAGGAAAAGCCTTTTTCTTAGAGCACCTAGGGAGTCTGCTGAGGAAAAGCCTTTTTCTTACAGCACCTAGGGAGTCTGCACGCCCAGCTAAGAGCTGCCCGGTGAGGAGAGGTGTACAAGCCATTTCCTAAATAGCACAAAGCTCAGGCTGCGCTGGGGGGACCCGGGCAGAGCCACGGAGCCCCGGGCAGGCCATTTGCTATGAGGGACAACAGCGAGCACAGCCCGATGGTGCCCAGGAGAGGCTCTTTAGCCCTGATGAATGGGCACTGACTGGGAAGAAGCTCAGCTATTCTTCCGCGTAGGTCAACGGTTGGTTGTTTATTTTTTCTCTTTTATAGCACAGTAAAGCAGACTGTTAAAGCAAGGTATGCTGTCGGAGGCACAGGAGAAGCCAGCCACCACCTCGCCAAGAGGTGTGTTCCCTGACCTGCTACATATTTTCACCCCTGCAATGCTACCCCTAGGCAGTATCAGGAAAGTCTGGGGTTTCAGGCTCGGTTCATTGTCTACGTGCCATCTCTCTGCAGTGACAGGTGAAGAAGCACCCTCCTAGCTTTCTCAGAAAGACGTTAAGACAGTTTTCCCAGCACAGTGTTCCTTTGAGCCATCCACCATGAGCTGCTACCAGCTTTGCTGACACGTGCCTGTATTCAGCTGTGAGACTGGACCAGAAATGCTGACTTAGAGGTGTACTGGGTGAAGCCCTTCAGCTTTCTCTCTTGTACCCTCTCACACATCATCACCGCAGGCTGCTTCAAACAGCCTTCCCTAGCCTGGCTGGTCCTGCTGCTGCCACTGTCAGGCCAAACTGCTCCAGGCAACACAGATCTCCCATGGCAAGATGCCGGATGGCAAACAGAGCTCATTTATGTCCAGTCCATTTTACCAAGGAAGGATAAAAACCTGAAGCTCAGCTCATACAGAACCAAGACCTGAAAAATGACTTGGAGCTGACTTGCTCCTCAGCCAGGATCACAGCCCTGCACTTGTCAGTCCAGAGGAGCTGGTCAGGATCCCAGGGATGACTCCTGCACCCGGTGCAAGTGCGGCTTGGATGTGTCTGGCTGGGTGCATATACCCAGGCATCAACAGGAGAGATCCTGACTGTTCCTTGGGGTGTGTCTGTGTTTTTCTCCTTAGGCATTTGATAAAACCATTGCGAAGGACAACTCCCTAGCTGTCGGCTTCTTTCAGAGAGGGTTTGTCCATCTGCAGCTGGAAATGTAAGTGGGGCACATGTCCATTTCAGTCTGCGGTTTTCTCCTTTTAGTCATATTTTGTTCCTACACCTAAATGATGATTTTAAAATTTACTTCTTCCAGCCATCTTAACCAGTCCTGTTTGGCCTTGTAAACCGTGTCACGGGTCAGCAAGTCTTATCCCTGATAGGGCTGAGAAGATATGAGCTGCTCAGCCTTGGGGCCCCAGGGTAATACATGACATTACTGTCCCTTACACACAGAGAAAGAAGCTGCCCATATATGCAGGGCTGCCAGGAGCTTACATTGCCATTCAGATTTTCTTTGGGAATGAAAAAAATGTAATTGCGGTGCTCGGTGTATCTTCACATGATACATGTGAGTCTGGCTTTCCTAGAAGTGCCGTCTGCTTGCAGTGTCTGACTCTCACTCTCTGCTGACAGCAGGTTTTGTGGGCCTGATGTCAATCTCACTGATTTAATGGTGGGTTTGCTCCACTCGTGTCAAGGGATTGATTACTCATTGTTTCCACGGTTAATCACAGTGACATGCTGCTCAGAGAGGTGGGTGGCGGATTTTACAGATCCCATCTTACCTTCAAAGTTCAGTTATTCTCTTTCCTGTTATTTTCCTGACCTTAATTTCCACAAAATTACTATCTTTATTTCTGGGAGGGAGTTAAAGGGAGCAGTTCTGCACTCACAGCTGGCCCGTCAACAGCTACATGCTCGGTGCCTCTGCCAGCAGAGCTGCAGTCAGGGATGGCGGAGCCCCGGCCAGCACGCTGGAGCTGCTCCGCTCTGCTCCCAGCACCGGCAGGAGTGCAGCGAGCCTGCCCCGAGCACACAGGCTGTGCTGCAGGTCAGGAGCAGTGCAGCTGGCAGACCTGCCTCCTGCTCGAGGAGGTGGCGGCTGCCAGCCCCCCATGGCTGATGCTGCTCCTGCCCACCCACATCCACCTGGGCACCTTCTCGTAGCCGTGCTCACTGGCTCTTGGTCCGGTCACTGCTGCCCAGCCCTTCCTAGACCCTTCCTTTCACCACCTGCAGCCTCAGTGGGAACTTGTTTTGATGCCAGTTGCATACCTGGTGTAAATTCAGGCTAATTCCCTCCTTGTCCCTAGAGTTGCTCTAAATTCCTGCTCGCATTGCTCTGGCCACGCATGTACCCTCACTGCTCACCATCAGCCGGGGTTTCCCAGTCCTCGCTTCTCCCCTGAGATACCTGCTGGGACGAAACTGCCAGCAGCAAGCTGGGCAAGGAGCATTTGTTAATCTTCGCTCTACATTTTCTCCTCCTTGGAACTGCAACTGTTTTGGGTATCAGAACCTGCTGTTCATCCCAGTCAGTAAAACAGTGCAGATAATCCCAGAGGAGAGACACACCATGTTCATTTTGTACTATCTACCAACAAGGAGAGGACAGGGAATTTTCTGTGGTCACAAGATGACACACATCTCTGGTGCAGCTCTCCTCTGTCTCGTCAGGAGACAGAGAAGAATACATGGGGTTTTGCTAGCTTGATCTTTGAGCTTCTTCATCTTCAGCTTTTTTAGTCTCAGTTGCTTCTCTCCCCTGTGCATTGTAGGTACGAAGAAGCTCTCTCTGACTATCGTATGGCCTTCAGTCATCTGAGAAAAAACCCCTTCATCGACTACAAGCAGCTGGGGTTGAGACACATACTCTATGCATGGGAGGTAAGAGTCAACCTGTCCCAGGGGTCCTTCCCCTCTGTTGGGGGGTATTCACCAGGTCTTTAGCATAGGGGTTAGTAACCCAAGACAGTACATTACAGCAGCAAAAAAATTTCTGCTTGCACTTTTTTTTAAAAGGAGCTTAATCATAAAAGTCATAAAACAATGTCATCTCTGAAGAGTTTAGCAAATTACAGTTTGAAAAGTAAAACTGTTCAGAGCAGATGCACAGGAATTGGTATACTGGGGTTTCTAAGCTTATCTGTGCATGTAATTGTGCTTACGTGCTTGTAAATGTGCATTAAGTTTTGTGAACTCCTCAGCTCTAAGAGCTGAAATGGTTTGAAGTGTAGACAGATGGAAACAAAATCAGTCCATAATGAAGTCTAAGAAACTTATGTGCACGAAAGTCTGTCTTTCCACGTGTAATAACTGGTCTTAACGTTACCTCTGCATCCAAACTTACACAGTGGGCTGCAAGGTGTGTTCTGCTTCTGTAACACGTCGCTCCGCAGCACTTACACTGTTATATGAAGTCAACCTGCCACATCCTGTTCAAAAAAAGGTCTAAGTCTGAATTGATTGTAAATATTTGTAATATTTGGAAAGTTAAAGACTCCTAGAAACTGGACTTTACAGCGAGGGTTCATTTTGTATTCTGTCCCAAGTCCACACACAGGGACTGAAAAGCAGATACAGGAAAGGGTATTTAATTCTTTACTTCCTCAAGAGTGAGGAGGCTTTGTGTAACTCAAGTCAAGCATGCTCAAAACCTCATCGTTCAGTCTCGGTCAGTTCTCATGCGCCTTTTACCTGGCAGGGAGAAGCTATCCTTGGCATCTGTGGCATTACCCAAACCTCATTGTTTGTAACAGTTTCAGTGCCACAGCACTGCCTTCTCTGAGCTCACAGGCACTTAGAAACAATAGGTTCCCTGTGAAAGGTGCAGGGCTGCAGAGGCCCCGAGGCGTCCGGAGGAGGCTGGTGCTCTTTCTGGTGTGAACACAGTCCCTCACTCCGCAGCTCTAGGCATTGCCAGGACACATGCTCTCACTGTGCTGGCGCTCCAGACTCGGGATCTGCATCCTGATTCGACTGTGTCTCGCTCTTACATCTACCTGCAGCTCATTTTTCAGAACACACAAAGACAGTGCTCCTGCAGAGCTGTGCCATCAGCTCTGCCCATGCACGGCTTCTAGTGCTATACCTCATCTTCTCTAGGGAGATGTGCTCTCTGGCTTGAAAAATCCAGAAGTATTTGCCTCTTGCAAGGCTGTAGCACTTCTGAGCTGAGCGAGAGCTGCTGCCTTGCCTCTCCACGAGGGAGGATCTCTGCAGTCCCTGTAGATGTTCAGGATTGCCATTCCCCTCCACCCCAAACAGCAGTCTCCTACTGCCACGATTAAGGGGTAAAGGAAAAGTGCCCAATTAGCCACACCTCTGCCCCAAGCACTGCTTGCATCCAGATCCCACAGAGCCATTTACATCCAGGATCAGGAGCTATCAGACAGGGAGTCTGCTAGGCCACACTTCTGCCTTGTAGGCCAGCAGCTTTTCCATACACCGACTGTTGGGCAGTGACAAGAAGAGATCTCCCACTCTCAATTCAGCATATAGATCAAGGCTTCCCAACACCCAGCCTGTAATACTCCCACACTTTGCCACTTCTCCACTGAACATGCTTACGTGCTGCTAAAGGGTAACAAGCTACAGCTGACAATTTGCACATTCACAGCCCACCACAATGTGAAATGGGTTCAGTTATTTATTTTGCAGTGAACAGGAGGCAGAATTTCTCTGCACAGCAAAAAATACTGCCTAGTTGCATGCAGAAAGAAACCCAAGAAAATCTTTCCTGGCCTTTCAGATGCAGGAAGGTTAAAATCAAAGCTTATATGGTACCAGAGTCTTCATCTGGTGTTCCCCTTGCCTTGAACAGAGCTGGCAGCTCCGGCACCCCCAGGAGCTAGCCTGGAGGTACTGCTTTGATCTCTTTCCACTCCAATTATGAAGTTTCTTCAGCTGTGCTGCTCAGAGTGCCTTTCCGGTGGCCAGTGGGGAGCAGATTGGTGCTGTGGCTGTACCTGTGGTGTTTTGGTGCCTGGTCCCTGTTTCTTTGCTGAGTTCAGTAAGTCGTGGTGGCTCTTAGCCTGCTGAGTTTGCTCCTTCCTTGCTCGCCCCAGGTGCTGTACAACACTGCAGCAGCGCAGTGCCGGCTGCAGCAGTGGCAGGAGGCCAGGGTCACCCTAGATCAGGCCATGGTATGGAGGCCTGAAGGGAGAACAGCCATCCTGGACCTGGCCCTTGAGCGGGTGCAGGTAAGTCCACCTGCATGAGTTCCTGGGTATGTGCATTGGGCTTAGGTTAAGAAATATGAGATAAGAATGTGCTAATTGTTGTGTGTTTGGGTTTTCTTGTCCACCCATCTGCTTGGTCACCTGGTAACAGAGTCTAAGCCATTTGCATAGGATGCTCTGCCAAACTAGTGCTTCAGCCAGTCAAGTAACTCCCTCACCCCCCGGTGCCTCATAGCAGAGAAACACCATAGTGGAGAATTAGGGGATAACCTCTCAGGCTGGGGTGGTGCTCCCTGCTGTTCAAGAGCTTAGTTCTGTTCGTACTTGTACTGTAAAACAAGTTGCCTTATGTAGCGTTTAAGTGCAGAACCCTACAAGTGCAGATTTGGACAGTCTCCCTTTTCATGACTCTGGCTGACTTTTGAGACCCTTTGGCCTCCGTAACAACTGGTAGCAGCTCAGATATTAATGACAATCACATTTAGAGCTTAAGTGGAGTGTAAAAGTGTTTCCAGGGTTGGTTCTAAATAATTTCCCATTAGACTCTTTTTATGATCAGGAACAACTTGCAGATCTCTGATTGACTTTTCTTGAAGGGTTCATTATTTTGCCATCTCCATATTTCCTTATCTTATTTGTATCCTTTGTAAGAGATGCTATTTTTTTTTAAACTAATCATCTCTTCTGGCATCATGTTTGTACTTTATATTAGCGTATTATTTATGTTTGCTATTAGCATGCTACTCAGTGGTTGAACAGAGGAGAAAAACAACATTTGAAGTCAAATAGAAAAACTGCTTAGAAGATGTGTTTAATAAACCTTACCCCTCTGCCCTCCCTTCTCGCCAATCCCATGCCAACAGAGTTAGTCTTTGACTCAACACTGGGTAGTGGCTGCCGAGCTCTTAGTTTGCATCTGCTTGTTAAACTTGAGTGACATTTTTCAAGTTCATAGCCATAATTTTTGCCCCAGTGTCTTCCTGGAGCTGATCTTGCACACACAGGGAACCTCTATTTCCTTTTCACTGCTGTTGTGTTTCATTTAATATTAATTCATGGCTTTTCCCTTATCTGCTTTCCCTGCCCTAGGACCGTCTGTTTTTAGAGCCCATGCAGGTTCCTCTTGGGGAATTTTTCAGACCACGAAAGAAGGAAGTTGAGCAGCTGGATTCAAAAGATTTCCTGGGTAAACCCAAGGTAACAGGCATGTAATCGTTAAGATTAACAGCAAGCAGATTAAAATCCCACCTTCTGACTTCTCCAGAGAGCATTACCGTTGGCCACTCCACGGATCACTGCGCTGGTGACGATCCAAGAGCAGGATCGTCAGAGCTCGCAGCCAGTTAAGGCATCTGGGACACAGAAGGTGAAATTTGTTGAAATTGCCACCTCTTCTATCAAAAATGCACTTTGGTGCTAAAACCCCTTTCCAGTCTTGGTCACTTTAAACTCTGGAAAAGCTGAGCAGTTTTTTAGGGAAAGCTGTGGTTGTCCTTTTGCTGACAATGACATTTTCAAGAGGAGCACGTTCTTCCAGCGTGCTCCTACTCACTACTGCGTTCCCAGCGGGACAGGCAGGCACTTGGGAGACAAATGCTTTGTCACATCCCTTAGTGCAAGTCAGCAGAGAATTTCTCTGATCCCTTCTGTGACCAGTGCAGTCAAAAAAAGTGCCACAGGCAAGAAAGCTCCAAGAGAGCTCCACCATGAATAAAGGAAAGGGAAAGTAATTAATTCACGTACTTTTAAAGAAACGTTGGAAGGACTGAAAACACAGGGACACGAATGGTTGAAGCTTTTTTGGGAATCCAGCTCTGCTTTTTCCACTATGTGCATGGCTCTACTTTATGCCTGACCTTAGGATGTCAGAAGGAAATGGGTCTGAGTAGCTAACCTGTCGTGAAGTTTGAGAGTCTCTTCATCCAGCCTGGAATCAGTCATTACTTTGTCCTCCGACAGGTCATCTCATCCATCATTCCCAATGATGAGTACATTGGCTTCGAGCCTCTCAGGCCTCAGGTGAGCAGGACATAGCTGTGAAGGGAGGAATGGAGCTGTCATGGAGCTCCAGGTAGGGCCTCAGATCCTAACACCGTCAGGGTAAGAACATACTGTTGAAAAAAACCCAGTGCAATGTCAGACTAGATCCATGGGGCTGTTCGAAGCCTGGTGGCGGGCTTCAGCATTGGCTGGAAGGGACACGGTGATGTGAGTCTCCAGCCCTTTGATGATGCATTTTTGTCTCTTCGCTGTGTCAAAACAGCAGTGGAGACTTTGCTGTGCTCAGCACGCATTTGCCCAGCGCTTCAGTAAATTTGTCAGCCTTGTCATGGCTGCCTTGCGCTGTAACATCAGTTTCTTAGAACCAAGGATGGGGGAAGAGATTTTGTTACCTCCTGATGGGATAAAGAGGGAGGGAGAGAAATAGAGGTACATCCTGGTAAGGTGTGGAGCAGCAGACTTCTGTCTGGGTGCTGTGGTGTGACAAATGTCGAAAGTAAATACAAAATACCACCGGGTGATATTCTGAGGGACAGCAATAAGGTGGCACTGTTGCTGTATAAGGGACTGTTGTAAATAGATGCTGTTGTTCCTCCCACAGAAACAGGGCTTTTATGAACCCAGTGCTGATGCTCTGCGGTAAGTGTTCAGTTCCACCTTCCTCTAACTCTTCTCTCACTGTTTCTGTTTAGAAGGTCATGTTTTGTTCTCTGATATCTTTGTCTGAAGACTCCACACCCACTTCTCACCAAGGGTGGAGCAAATGACAAGCATGCAAAGGCTTCTATGGGTGCAGAAGACACTGCTGTTCAGTGGCATCTCTCATGCAAGAATCTCAGGGCAGTTTGCAGGAGCTGATTCTATAGCCTTGGGATGCAGGCATGGATCGTGCCATGGCTGGGGAGTGGAAGCAGAGAGAGGTTGTGGGACCTGCCCAGGTCTGTGGCAGAGGATGCTCAGCTGTCCCCTCCTAGTTCCCAGGACAAGGCTTCCAAATACTCACCTCCAGCCCTGTTGTGTTGAGCCAAAATCAGCCTTGGTTCAAAAAACATGAAAGTCATTTGTTTTGGTGATACCGTATCAGCAGTACTTCAGGGCTGAGTTTAACAGTTTTTTGATCTAGAGAATGTGTATTGGTACAATGAAAATGGGGCAGTTGCAGTTGGGAAAGCGGTGTTTTCCAAGCTCCTTTTGTTCCCAGTTGGACCAAAGAGTACCAATGGAAATCGTTATTTCCCAACGCTTGAAACTTTGTCACATGCCAGTTTTGATCAGTGTGGTGTTCTGGATCAAAGCCACCCAGCACCAGAACTCCAGGGCTAGTAAAGGTGCTCTCATTCCTTCTTTCCAGAGACAGTGAATCGGGCTACTGTCAAGTTTTGTCCCACTATTACCCTGAGGACTCGGAGAAGCTGGCAGTGAAAGCCAGCAGTTTGGTCTTCGTGCTGACGAGAGGAGCGGATGGCTGGGCTACAGCCATACACGATGGACAGGTGAGGAAAACGGGGGGGCTTTCCAGCCCACCCCTACCAGCAGAGACCCACAGCCCTGCCTGTGAACAGGAGCTTGCTGCAACCCTCTGAGCACATTCCTTGGGGACCCACCTGCAGCACTGCAGGGCAGAGGATGAGTTCAGGAGCACATTTCCACAGACCAGTTGCTAACCATAAATTTCTCTGATGCTTGGCTCTCATGGGCTTCTGCCATTCACCTCTGTACCTCCGTAAGGGCATCTTTTTGGGCAGTTGTGCTTTCCACCATACAGGATCCTATGGTGGGATCATGTAGGGTGACAGGCTTCACCAAGGACCGACATTTAGAGCAGTATTTGTCACCTAAGAGCTCTAATGGAGCTGAAGAGGCAGGTCGGTCCTTACCTGGTGTGTAGTGCCTCTGTTAAATTACCTTTGGGAAGGTTCTGGGGGGGTTTTACCTCTGCAGGCAGGTTTTATAAAGGGCTCTGGAGAAGATCTAAGGAATTAAAGCCTGGCAAATCTGAAATCTTTCTGCAGACTTGGGAACTATAGTGTAAACAGCTTGAATAGAAAAGGACAAGTATGACAACATGGAAAATCTTTTGTTGACAGAAGCTATTTCTCACATATTTACTTAAGTTCTTTTAAAGAGCCAGAGCATACCTGGGTTAGGTTGAGCCAGTGAATGTATTATCTGCCTATATTTAAAAAAGAAGCCAAAAGATTCTTCACAAGACCACTAAAAAAAGTGAGCTGTTTGAGCAGGAGAGGCAGTGCTCTGAGGCCTGATAACAGGTTAAAATATGGAAATGAAGGGTGGGCATAAATGAACAGGTTTTTCTTTCTTTCTTGTAAAAAAAGGATGTCCCCACAGAGCATCTGCTGTGACCTAAGCATTTAGCGTATTCCTAAGTGAAATAGGAATGGGGATAGTGATACAGTGCTTCTTGAGGTGACCATCTTCCGTGACAGACAATCAAACCATTCAGCATAGCCTGAAGCATGTGGAGCTAAAGATGAACAGTGACAGAAGTATTTGACTATGCTGGTTGACTGCTCAGTGAAGTATCCGATGAAATTCAAAGTCAAGCAGTAAAATAATAGACACGGGGCGGGGGGGGCAGGGAAAAAAGCATAATTACTCGCAATGATCCATTGGAATTACTAGCCCTACAGCAGTGATTATCAGAAGACACAGAAATCCCTCAACATCCTTGCTGCGCTCTGCCTAAGCATCTGGTTTAGGATCGGGGTGTTGGGCTTGGCGGGTGTTTGGTCTGTTACCCCGCAGCCTCTCCGTTAGCAGCCCTGCTTTCAGCAGCAGAAGATGCAAAAGGACCGTTAGATTTTGCCCAGCAATTTCTGAGCACCAGCCACATGGGCGGGTACGTGACCCCGGGCTCCCCGTGGGCACGTTGGTTGCGGTAGGGCGAGCAGGCAGTGGTGGTTTGCCAGGGCAGGAGCAGCGCCGAGCGGGGCTGAGGGGGGGTGGGGCC